GTTCAAAAACAACCTGCCTCCAACGCATGGATATATCATCTTTGGGGTGTGCTATATCACAATTGTGTTATATTGTTTTATAATGGACAAAGCCCCTATTTGCACTCTCAAATTATTTTTTTTTTTTATGGTCAACACCTTCCAAATATTTCCTTCTGATTAATACCTTTCACTTTTCAAAACTCATGTAAAGCCCAATATTTTAATAGATTATCACATCATCATTAATAATTGTTAAAAAGTGTAATATGTGACATCCAAATAACGACGTGGGTATTACGTGCTGTTATTTATCTAATGTGGACGATTTTTCAATGATGTAGCATGATGACATGGCATAATTTTATGTGAAAACCTCCTCACCAAAAAAAAAAAACTAAAATAGAAAATTAAATGAATTAAACATAAATAACCTTAATTTCTTCACCTTTCTCTTTCTCCTCATCCTCTTCTTCATCGTCCTCTTCATCATCCTCTTGGGTTTCGCAAGGAACCCAGAGCTTGGTTCGTGAGCAACCTAGTTTTGGGTTTTTTGTGGAATCAAGCCTCCATGGAAGATCAAAAAAGATTTCATCCATGGTTCTAATAGAGGGTGATTCAGATTGGAAAAAAAGAAACAATGTTTTAATTCACTTGCAAGAAAAGTTGAGAACCCATCAAAGAATCAAATCATTATTTTATTATTCTATCAAAACCAGAAAGAATCACAAAAAAGAAAAGCGAAAGAAAGGTACAAACTAGGTTCCTTGTTGTGAGGAACCCAAATTGGGTTCCTCATCGTGGTGGAACCCAAATCAAGTTCCTCATGTAACCCAAGGTTGGGTTCCTTCGCTTTGGGTTCCACCCTATTTTAGTTCTTTTTTTTTTTTTTGTTAGGAGGTTTTCACATAAAATTATGTTGTGTCATCATACCACATTATCAAAAAATCGTCCGCATTAGATAAATAATACCACATAACACCCACATCATTATAATTATTTGGATGTCATATATTGTATTTTTTAACAATTATTAACAGTGATATGATGACCCGTTAAAATATTAAGTTTTTCATGAGTTTTGAAAAATAAAGAGTATTGATTGGGAAGAAAATATTTAAAAAGTGTTGATCACAAAAAAAAAAAAAATTGAAAGATGCAAATAGGGGTTTTGACCTTTTATAATTATTTTGAAAATGATATTATATATCAATATAATTATTAAATTATAAAAAATTACTAATTAAATAATTTA